TGGAGAACGAACAGGTTTCCTGTTATATTCATCAGAGGTGTAGGGAGGGTGAAGTCTGTGAATCCAAAAAATAGTAATTATACAAATGTTTAACAAAACAAGCAAATGACAGTATTCATACCTTGGTTTTTGTGGTAAATGTGAATGAAAAAAACTACTGTTTTGATAATGGTTTCATAGACATACCTTGTCCATAATGTAGAGGCCTATGGGATTTTCATTGAAGAGGTAAGGGAGGAGGATGGTACATGTGATCTGCATAACATACCAATACCAATTGACATACCTTTGTATGCCTCCTTGTCTGTATACCTGCAGACACAGACACAAAAGTGAGCAGTTCAGTCATCTGCACCCAATACAGCTAGCCTTCAACATATTCTTATAGCATACATATTCTTACCTCTTTGTTGATTGATATCCATTGAATTGTGTCCATTTTCTGTTTTAGAAAGATTTGCACAAATATGAAAAGATAGATGGTATCATCATAAAAATATATCAATTTAGATCATACAAGGGACAAACCTTACCTTCAATTGAGGAGATCTTTACATTTTTCAGTTAAGTGCCTGCACCTGCTGTCCTTTCAAATTCAAATCCAAATGTTTCAGTTGGGCAGTTAGGTTCCTGCAAGAACCCCCACCAACTAAGGAGAGTGCCAAGAACCCTAAGGTTCTTCGAAGAACTTTGAGGATCTTAGAAGAACCCTTGTTGAACCCCTAATGTTTAAAGTGTAGTGTTGATCCGAGTGTTCTGACCTCACAATGTCAGTCAAGCACCCAAGCTAACTGGCTAATGTTGGCTAGCTTGCTAGCTACTTCCAGACACAAATGACAGAACACCTCACTCTGACCATTTTACTCGCCCTTGCAGAGCTGGTTAGGCTATTTTCATGTTATCCAGAGCGTTGGTGACTGTAACTGTGCTGCTGGCAACAATTTAATTACGCTTCTTTGCCTACGTTTACCGACACCGGCCATATTCAACGGGTGTTGAGCGTTAGTAAATTAATCAGTTATTCTGCGCTCTGGCACACTCAGACGAGAGTGCTCTGAAATTGAAGTAGATCTCCAGAGCGAATTTACGAACACACCCAAAGATGGGGTTATTGGTTGTATATATAGTACTGCAGTTACATCATCAATCTTATGATGTTATTGGTGAAATGTGTGTGTTAAAGTGAGGCCATATAAAATGAGCTAATGGTCAAAGATATGGAGGTTCCCAGTAGGATATACTTTACCTCTTGGTTCTGTGTTGATCACATTCATTGGTGTTCATCATTGGCGGCCAGGTTACAGGGTGTTATGGAGGTCCCTGTGTTTTATGATATACTGTGTGCTGATTAGGGAGAGCCAGGTAAGAGGGTGATACGGAGGTCCGTGTGTTGTACAATATACTGTGTGCTGATCAGTGGTGGCCAGGTTACAGCGCACATCTTGAGAGGACACTTCTCCTCAGACAGGGACCTCCCAGCCTAGAGATTGGCTGGCCTTTCATCATCACAAACACCACTCACTGTGGTAATGGTGGCAGGAGTTTCATTAAGGGCCTTGTTAAATCCCCTCGGTAAGCCACGTCGTTAAGGCTCGGCCATTAACGACCCTTCGTTAAGAACCCTGAGCGTGGAACCTTCTCTTCTGGTGGTCTTGACCAGCTGACTGTGCAGGCCAATTGGGCCAAACCAAAACATCCAGGATGAATATAGAAGACCTCAAAGCTAAAACTCCCAAAATAACTAATACAGAGTGTACTATAAGTGCAGTATCCGTGACAACCTTAAAGGCCCCCAGTATCCATGACAACCTTAGAGGCCCCCCAGCTGTTACACGTTGACTCAGGTCTATTCCCAATCCTTTTCCCTTTCCACCACATCGTTTCACTGCCAATTTATTTGGAATAAAGTGGTAGTAAGACTAGGAGCATTACCCTCTGCTCAATTTCTATAAATGATTCTGCGAAATTGGCAGTGAAGTCATGTTTTGGAAGGAGGAATGATATAATATGTATAACCATAATGCATACAGAATTGTTTAGCTCAACTCTGCAGACAGTCAGAATGGAAACGTATAAAAAAGTTATATTTGGTTAACAGGCGCAAACACACTTGTCAACATCCATGTGAATCGTTTACTCACTGGAAGGGGGGCATACATCTAGACTATTTTTCCCATAAAAAAAAAAGAAAGTAAAATAAGGATCTGTAAAACTAATGAATATTTTGATTCAGAGTATCCATTTTCATTTCATTTAGCGAATGAGCTTAGCTGCAACAATGCTTTCAAGCGGCCCCCACTCGCACTTTTCTTCTGAAGTCACAATGTCACACTCTTGGAGTGGGGCTAATTTTGCACTCTTGTGTCAGGGTTCCTATTCCGTCCACATTTGAGCTGTAATGAGAATGAATGCTGATGTGCGGAGAGCATCCCCTGAGCAGGGCCATGGGGATGGGGATGGAGATGGAGATGGGGATGGGGATGGAGATGGGGATGGGGATGGAGATGGGGATGGGGATGGAGAGTGGGGATGGGAGGATGGAGATGGGGATGGAGGGATGGAGATGGCGATGGGGAGGAGATGGGGTGGGGATGGGGGATGGGGATGGAGATGGAGATGGGATGGAGAGGAGATGGAGGATGGGGATGGGGATATGAGATGGAGATGAGATGGAGATGGGGATGGAGATGGAGGATGGAGATGGGGGATGGAGATGGGATGGAGAGATGGGGAGGGGATGGGGATGGGGAGGAGATGGAGATGAGATGGATGATGAGTGCGATGGGGTGGCGCTGTGGTGGGCTTGGTGGGATGCTGAGCTGGGCTGGCTTGGGACTGGGTGGGCTGTGCTGTGGTGTGGGCTGGGTCATGGCTGTGGGATGGTGCGATGGGCTGGGGCTGGCCTGGGATGGCTGGTGGGAGCTGGGCGCCTGGAGCTGTGGGTGTGGGTTCGTGGCTTGTCTGGATTGCTGGGGTGCGCTGGTTTGGGCTGGCGCTGGCGCTGGGGCTTGGGCTGGCGTGGTCGGGTGGGGTGGGGCTGTGTGGCATGGGTGCTGGCGCTGGGCTGGGCTGGGTGGGCTTGGTGGTGGCTGGGTTGGGGTGCTGGGTGGAGTGCGGTCTGGCTGTATTCGTGTGCCTGGCTGGGTGAGACCATGCGACCTGCGCTGCGCTCTGGGCTTGCTTGCGCGCTGTCGCGCATGCACTGGCTGCATGCGCAGCTGCGATGGCATGGACGCTGCATCGCGTCTAGACTGCTGCGCTTGCCTGAGCTCCTGCCACAGCTGCCCTAGCCTAGCCATCTGCCATGTAGCCAGCCACTAGCCAGCACTCCCTAGCCACTAGCCACCATGTCCACTAGCCTAGCCATAGCCCTCCATAGCCCTGCCCTAGCCAGCTAGCACACTAGCACAGCCACCAGCCACTAGCCACTAGCCACCTAGCCACTAGCCACTAGCCTCCCAGCCACTAGCCACACCTAGCCACTAGCCACTCCACAGCCACTAGCCACTAGCCACCACTGCCACTAGCCACTAGCCACCAGCCACTCTAGCCACTAGCCACTAGCCACTAGCCACTAGCCATTAGCCACCAGCCACCAGCCACCAGCCACTAGTCACCAGCCACTAGCCACTAGCCACCTGCCACTAGCCACTAGCCACCAGCCACTAGCCACTAGCCACTAGCCATTAGCCACTAGCCATTAGCCACCATCCACTAGCCACCAGCCACTAGCCACCAGCCACCAGCCACTAGCCACTAGCCACCAGCCACTAGCCACTAGCCACCAGCCACTAGCCACTAGCCACCAGCCACTAGCCACTAGCCACCAGCCATTAGCCACCATCCACTAGCCACTAGCCACCAGCCACTAGCCACCAGCCACTAGCCACTAGCCACCAGCCATTAGCCACCATCCACTAGCCACTAGCCACTAGCCACTAGCCACTAGCCACCAGCCATTAGCCACCATCCACTAGCCACTAGCCACTAGCCACTAGCCACCAGCCACTAGCCACCAGCCACCAGCCAGCCAGCCAACCAGCCAGGTCTGAGCCAGTAGGCCAGCAGCAGTCAGGATCAATACAGCATGTACCCCTGCCCTCCTTAATACACTCTCAGTAGTTGGGAAATTATTGATTAGGCCTCAACTTATTACGCGCTAAATTTCTACTTTCATTCATCGCTGCAGCAGTAGGGAACTGTATTTCACAGATTGATGAGCTTTCAGAGATAACTGTTTGTGAGAATAGCAGGCCTAGTTAAACTGGTTATTGAGATTATGATGATCCTAGTTCAGGGCCATTGCCCCATAGATGGATCTGGATAGATCAGAGGGTGTTTGTTTGGATATAATCACTGTATAATCACTGTGTATAATCACAGTGTATAATCACTTTGTATAATCACTGTGTAGAATCACTGTGTAGAATCACTGTGTAGAATCACAGTGTATAATCACTCTGTAGAATCACAGTGTATAATCACAGTGTATAATCACTTTGTATAATCACAGTGTATAATCACTTTGTATAATCACTGTGTATAATCACTCTGTATAATCACTCTGTATAATCACAGTGTATAATCACAGTGTATAATCACAGTGTATAATCACTTTGTATAATCACTGTGTATAATCACTTTGTATAATCACGGTGTATAATCACAGTGTATAATCACTTTGTATAATTACTTTTTATAATCACTGTGTATAATCACAATGTATAATCACAGTGTATAATCACTTTGTATAATCACAATGTATAATCACTCTGTATAATCACAGTGTATAATCACAGTGTATAATCACAGTGTAGAATCACTCTATATAATCACCTTTATTTCGCTTCAATTCATTCTCTTTTATTTTATAACTTATAGCTCTTCCTCTATATATTTATTTATATCTCTCTCTCTCTCTCTCTCTCTCTCTCTCTCTCTCTCTCTCTCTCTCTCTCTCTCCTATATCTCTCCTATATCTCTCTCAGCTGCACACTGACATGGACAGAGGTGATGGACGCACCAAGTACTTGCTGCGTGGTGAGGGGGCGGGGTCGGTGTTTGTGATTGACGAGAAGACGGGCAACATCCATGTCACCAAACCCCTGGACCGTGAGGAGAAGGACGAGTACCGCCTCATCGCCACAGCAACCGACTGGCAGACCGACCGGGCCCTGGAGCCCTCGTCCACATTCATCATCAGAGTACAGGACATCAACGACAACCCCCCTCTGTTTGAGGAAGAGCCCTACAGCGCCACCGTGCCTGAGATGGCCAACATAGGTACTGAAGCCGGGGAGCCGTTGTCTGTTTTATCTGCTACTGCCTGCTTCCATTTTATTAATCCTTTCATCCATTTTGATGTGTGCTTGCTTTCAAAACTCGGTCCCAGATTTAGTTGTTTAGTCAATCATGGCTTCAATATTTACCTGGGATGAAATATTTACCAAGGTCTTTTCAAAATGTACGGTGGGTTGCTGTGAGACTAGCAGATAGCGGAGCCATGAGAGTCTTATCAAAGAGCTGTTACATAAAACTGGTAATATCTTCCACCATCAATGCCACAGTGGTAATAAGATAATGATAGTAGTCACAATAACACAACGTCAGCCTGTCGAAGACATTGGTTGAGATATCTTTCATCATCTCACTTTCACTATGATTTCAGATTGAGTTTGCTTCCCTTGATTGCCCTAAACAACTTGTGTGATGTGAATTTCATCCCCACGGTTAGTTTTAAGTGGATACTAGGATATGATTTCTACAGCTACTATAGCCTTACAGTATTTCACATGGAAAGAAATCACTATGGTATTCACCCAGAGTATGAATGTCTCAGTGCCAGTCAGTGTGAATAGACTTCTGCTCCATTCACTGGTAATACATCTCAGTCTGAATGTATGATCATTCCAAATTGTGACTGTGCTTTAGCACCAAGACAGACTGTATATCAATAGATTTGTTGCGTCAACCCTAGTCAACCTTGTTTGATCTGTCTTTCTGATCATTATTTTACTGCTGCGTGCATCAAAACATTTGCTCCTGTCACTCTCCCTTTCTCTCTCCATCTTCCATGTGCCTTGTTTTTGTTTTTTTTACACATATTTAACCCCTTATTTTTGTTGGGACAAAACTATCTCCATACTTCCATTCATTTGTAAGGGTTACCTTCAGACGAGTCCCGTGACACTTGTGGGGGTCATAGAGAAAAACGGAGAACACCATTGTGTTCGTGAGAGTCTCCCCTTTCTATAGCGGGGTCATATTAGTTATAGCTAAAAAAACGCTACAGACGTTTTAGTGAGAAGACCGATTTTCAGGATGTCTCATGGTCTGACAAACACCACTGTAGCTCGGCCACCTTCCATCGCAGATGGATATCTCTAGCTTAAACTGACAGATTTTTATGGAGATTTCTTTATTATGTTACATAGACTGATGCACAGGTGCATCACTAGGCTCTTTTAAATACCTGTGATAGATCAGTAATCAGACCCAGTCTCTCTCTCACTCGTCTCTCTCTCCCTCCCTCCCTCCTTCCTCCCTCTCTCCCTCCCTCCCTTGCTCTCTCTCCCGGTGACACTGTTGGGGCTTTGATGTCAGAAAACAGCAACAGCTGCTCCCACAAATCCCCTCTTCCCTCTGAGCTTGTCAGCCCAGTGCCCAATGGGAAACATAGTTCTTTTTTCCAAACTATATATATATATTTTTGCTACGATTTCAATATCACACATAAAGCTGACGGTCTTTGATTTATTTGGTGGGAAAAGGTGTCCATATTTGTCAGGAGAGGCAGGGATTCATGACATGAGGGAGTCAGGGGGGAGACAAAGGGGGGCAACCGATAGACAGAGAGATTGAGAGAGGGAGCCAAAGGGGATTGTGACAGAGATGCAGAGAAATGAAGTGAGACAGACAGAATGGAGAGAGAAAGAAGGTGAGCAGCAGGGGAGAAGGAAAGTGAATAAAGTATTTGTTACACTGCTGCCGAAAGAGAGAGAATGGGGTGAGAGAGAGAGAGAGAGAGTGGGGTGAGAGAGAGAGAGAGGGTGAGAGAAAGGGAGAGAGAGAGAGAGAGAGAGAGAGAGAGAGAGAGAGAGAGAGAGAGAGAGAGAGAGAGAGAGAGAGAGAGAGAGAGAGAGAGAGAGAGAGAGGTGGGGGTTGTCAGATAGCCAGTCAATCAGTCAGCCAGTGTGTATTTGGCTCTCTGGAGTTAATGTACTGCTGTGTCCAGTCAGTGTTTGTGTGTGTGGTATGCTGTTTTAACACTCCTCTGCTCTCTCCCCTCCTCCTTCAGGTACTTCTATAATTCAGGTGACAGCGACAGATGCTGACGACCCAACCTATGGGAACAGTGCCAGGCTGGTGTACACACTGGTGCAGGGAAAGCAGTTCTTCTCTGTGGACCCACAGACAGGTGAGTGCCTCTTGTTCTCCACTTAGTGTGCATGCACTCCCTCCCTCTCGACTCCCTCCCTCTGTACTCCCTCCCTCCCCTCTGCTCCCTCCCTCCCTCTGTACTCCCTCCCTCTCCAGCCAACCATTTTCTCCCTCTACAAGTATCTTTGCAGTGTGTATCCCCACAGCTCTTTCTTTCTCTCCCTCATCTATCCCCATCCCTCCTTCAATCCCTCTCTCAGTCCCTCACACTCTCTGTCAGGCTTGCCCATTCCTCTCTATTTACCCCCTCCCCATATTCCCTTCTCTCACCTCCCTCCCTCTTTTCCCCTATTCCCTCTCTCTGTGTCCCCTCCTGCACCCTCTCAGTTAATCCAGTTCAAGATGGCAGAAATGTATTCAGACTGCCAGAGTCTATGTGCATCCAACAAACTGCAGTAACCGCCTTAAATTATATTTTTTGAAGGAGGAAAAACAAAAAGATGTCTGATCAAAGGGAGATGTCAGAAAAGGTTTGGGAACTATTAAAGGAAGAGATTAAAAAGGCTCAAAGGACCTGTCTCTTCACTAAAATCTACTGTGTGTTTTGGGGGGCTTTGGTGTCAACCCAGGGTCCCCGAGGCAGATGGGAAAGTCTTCTGCACACTGCCTGAGAGGAAACCATGGGCATTTCAAACATCACATTTAGTCCTCTGTTGCCTCACTACGTGATTGACAGCCTGCAAGCTAGTAAACACTGCATTTTTATACCTTATGTTTACTGTACGAGTGTGTCGCCTAGTTAGGCATTTTGAAGTCTGTTTGCTGAGTGAGTGCGTGTCGGCGTGTGTGTGTACTAGTTGGGTTTATTCTATTTGTCGACAAGGGGATATTATAGGTAGACATCGTCTGCTATGCCATTATTGAATTGTAATGCAATTTAATTAATTGTTGGAGGGACCTTTGGTATGAGTGAAGAGGGTTCTGCTGGTGGGTCTTTGCATGCTAATTGGGTATATTATCCTAATTCTGCCCAGCGTATGTTAACTAAAGCGCTCATCCATTGGCAGGGTTTGCATGTAGAGCCGGTCCACTCTGTCCTCTCTCTTCATTTCAGAAGGTCTCATTCTGCACACACACACACACACACACACACACACACACACACACACACACACACACACACACACACACACACACACACACACACACACACACACCACACACACACACACACATCCCAGAGCCACATCACATTTGCTCAGATATTTATGCTGGTTGCTTGTTAACTCCCTACATATACCCCATCAAAGCCTCATATTTTCACTAGCTTTACAAGAGCATCCATTATTTCAAGGTGATTTAGCTACCTTGGCTGCCAGTCTCCTGGTTTGGCTGGGTTTGGTGAGCACAGCTAGAGGCAGCCTCTGTATGTGAAGCAGAATCAGGTCATTCTGCATAGTGGAAATGATGGATCTTGAACTATGTCTTTGTCTTTGGTGTGTGTGTTTTTCCAAGGTATCCTGCGTACAGCAGTGCCTGATATGGACAGGGAAACCCAGGACCAATACCTGGTTGTCCTGCAGGCCAAGGACATGGGGGGCCATCTGGGAGGTCTCTCAGGGACCACTACTGTCACCGTCAGGCTGAGTGACGTCAATGACAACCCTCCTCTCTTCACCCAGAGTGAGTGACACACACACACACATATCACATGCACACATGCTCACACACCCCCACAAATATATGTATGAAAATGTATGCACTCACTAACTGTAAAGTCGCTCTGGATAAGAGCGCTGCTAAACGACTAAAATGTAAAATGTAAATACACCCACAAATACACCCACACACACGAGCACACACGAGCACACACAAGCACACACGAGCACACACAAGCACACACGAGCACACACACACACACACACACACACACACACACACACACACACACACACACACACACACACACACACACACACACACACACACACACACACACACACACACACACACACACACACACATTCCCACACACACTCTAACAGGTATACTTCACCCATCAATCGCTCTGAGCTAGAAACCCAATTTGCCAACCTGGGGGCAGTTCTGGTGTCAATGTGCAGGGTTCTATACAGACCACATGTACACTCAGGCTCCTTTGAAGCATCCTAGGAGAGGGGGAGAGGGGGAGAGGAGGAGAGAAGAGGGGAGAGGAGGAGAGAGGGGGGGAGGGGAGGAGAGAGGGGGGGAGGGGAGGAGAGAGGAGGGGAGAGGAGGGGAGAGGGGAGAGGAGGGGAGAGGAGAGGAGAGAGGAGGAGAGAGGAGAGGAGGGTAGAGGAGAGAGGAGAGGAGAGAGGGGAGATGAGGGGAGAGGAGGAGAGGGGAGATGAGGGGAGAGGATGAGAGATGATGGGAGAGGAGAGGGGAGATGAGGGGAGAGGAAATTAGAGGAGGGGAACCCATGGAGAAGTGCTGCCATTAAACCAGACTCCTCCAGTCTGTTCAATGCTGTTAGTACCCCTGCTGCTGCAGTGTGACAGTTGGGGGTTAGGACACTACCAAAGCCTGGTTCCCCGCCGCTCTGCTCAATTAAATACCAGGGCCTAAAAGACACTCACAATCCAGCCTCTTTCTCCCAAAGTCAGTGCTGCTTACTGTATTTCACATGGCATTTACCATTGGGTGAGGATTAAATAAATAAATAAATAAATTAACCAGGTTTTCGTGAATATTATTATATTCCCTAACAAGTTGTAATGGTATGGTTTGCGGGCCGCAACACAAAATTATTCTCTGACCTCACGAGACTCATAAAAGCCTCCTGGGTTTTCCCTTCAATCCCTCCATTCATGACTTTCTTCAAGGAGCCAAGCAGGACTGTAGCGTTGTTACCGTATGACAGCTTTGAAAGCTGTCAGGGTATGTCCTAATACAGGAACCTGACAACCTGTAAAGCTTGTGAACCAGCAGGATATCGAGATCCACTGTGTAAATTACACCCCTACAATGTTCTAGGAGCCATATGTGGGCTGCTCCTTAGCCAGGGCAGAACATTGATTCATAGCTCAGTGGCAGTTGGCTGTGAGGATGTTCCACATGTGGACTCAGGTGCTCCGTGCCCAATCTGGAGTTTTATGCACTTTTAAAAGCTTTGGCAGCCAAGGGGAGTGGAGACACAGCCTGCACCGAGGTGATGGATGGATTGGTAGATTGTCTGACGAGTGTCTTTTTTATGCGACAACGAGATGAGAGACAGCGCTATAGAGAGGGTTTCATCATAAATATTACTAATTTATTTCCCCAGAGAGTGTGCCAGTTACCGAGAAAATTTGACTTGGGAAGAGTTAGAGGGATGAGGGGATGGTGAAAGAGAGAGAAATATAGAGAGAGGGAGAAAGAGAGAGAGGGAGGTAGAGAAAGACAACAAATGAAGAGGGAGAGAAAGAGAGAAAGAGAGTCCTCCTTAGGGAAGGAGAAAGAGAGAAAGAGAGTCCTCCTTAGGGAAGGAGAAAGAGAGAAAGAGAGTCCTCCTTAGGGAAGGAGAAAGAGAGAAAGAGAGTCCTCCTTAGGGAAGGAGAAAGAGAGAAAGACCAAAGTGAGGGAATTATAGTTTGACTGTGCAGAACAGAAAGAGGGAGGAGGTGAAAGAAAGAATGGAACAGGGCACACAAAGACCGCCAGAAGGAGAGAAATACTCACACTGTGAAATCTATGAAATAAAGAGCGAGGGAGCAAGAGAATGGAGCAGAGGGAGGTAGGATGGTAATCACGGTAATTTGTCCTCTGAGGAAATGAGCGAGAGAAAAAGAGGAGGAGAAGTATGAGTGGGTGAGGTGATGAAGTCGCAGGGGAGTGAGAATGGCAATGCATAACAGCTTAACCCTTGTGTGTCTGTGTGCCTGTGTGCATGTGTGTGTTCTTGAGTATGTAGCCTATTTGTGCCATATACAGTTGAAGTCGGAAGTTTACATACACCTTAGCTAAATAAATTAAACTCAGTTTTTCACAATTCCTGACATTTTATCCTAGTAAAAAGTCCCTGTCTTAGGTCAGTTAGGATCACCACTTTATTTTAAGAATGTGAAATGTCAGAATAATAGTAGAGAGAATGATTTTTTTCAACTTTGATTTCTTTCATCACATTCCCAGTAGGTCAGAAGTTTACATACACTCAATTAGTATTTGGTAGTGTGGTGTCGAGAAAACTATGCTGAGATGCTGTAAGAACAAGAATTCTGCTGACACTGTACTTTGATTATAAAGGTTTATTTATATCAAAGGGTTACAGCGTCAATTTACAGATATCTGCAGACATCTGGAGAACAACGACCCAATCTGTAATATGTTGTTCTGTCCTCCTTTGTTTTAACCGTGGTATTTATATCCTATGCCCTATGTAACATAACATGGGTGTTTTCCCTACAGACCAATCCCAGGAGGCCACTTAACAGTCTTCCTCGGCTTTAGGGTGCCCCTATAGAACTACTCCCCAGATGCTCCCTTTAAGCTGAGTCAACATCCTCTAAAACCATTTGAAACCATTAGCAAAGTCATACATTCCTCAGATACCACAGTAGCATTGCCTTTAAATTGTTTAACTTGGGTCAAACGTTTCGGGTAGCCTTCCACAAGCTTCCCACATTAAGTTGGGTGAATTTTGGCCCATTCCTCCTGACAGAGCTGGTGTAACTGAGTCAGGTTTGTAGGCCTCCTTGCTTGCACAGGCCTTTTCAGTTCTGCCCACACATTTTCTATAGGATTGAGGTCAGGGCTTTGTGATGGCCACTCCAATACCTTGACTTTGTTTTCCTTAAGCCATTTTGCCACAACTTTGGAAGTATGCTTGGTGTCATTGTCCATTTGGAAGACCCATTTGCGACCAAGCTTTAACTTCCTGACTGATGTCTTGAGATGTTGCTTCAATATATCCACATCATTTTCCTTCGTCATGATGCCATCTATTTTGTGAAGTGCACCAGTCCCTCCTGCAGCAAAGCACCCCCACAGCATGATGCTGCTACCCCGTGCTTCACGGTTGGGATGGTGTTCTTCAGCTTGCAAGCGACCCCATTTTTCCTCCAAACATAACGATGGTCATTATGGCCAAACAGTTCTATTTTTGTTTCATCAGACCAGAGGACATTTCTCCAAAAAGTGCGATCTTCGTCCCCATGTGCAGTTGCAAACCGTAGTCTGGCTTTTTTATGGCGGTTTTGGAGCAGTGGCTTCTTCCTTGCTGAGCGGCCTTTCAGGTTATGTCGATATAGGACTCGTTTTACTGTGGATATAGATACTCTTGTACCTTTTTCCTCCAGCATCTTCACAAGGTCCTTTGCTGTTGTTCTGGGATTGATTTGCACTTTTCGCACCAAAGTACGTTCATCTCTAGGAGACAGAATGCGTCTCCTTCCTGAGCGGTATAACGGCTGCGTGGTCCCATGGTGTTTATACTTGCGTACTATTGTTTGTACAGATGAACGTGGTACCTTCAGGCGTTTGGAAATTGCTCCGAAGGATGAACCAGACTTGTGGAGGTCTACAATTCATTTTCTGAGGTCTTGGCTGATTTATTTTAATTTTCCCATGATGTCAAGCAAAGAGGCACTGAGTTGGAAGGTAGGCCTTGAAATACATCCACAGGTACACCTCCAATTGACTCAAATGATGTAAATTAGCCTATCAGTAGCTTCTAAAGCCATGACATCATTTTCTGGAATTTTCCAAGCTGTTTAAATGTCACGACTTCCGCCGAAGTTGGTGCCTCTCCTTGTGGGGGCGGCTATCGGCGGTCGTCGTCACCAGCTTTCTAGCTGCCATCGATCTACGTTTCTGTTTTCCATTTGTTTTGTCTTGTTTGTACACACCTGGTTCCCATTGCATTATGATTATTTCCCTATTTAACCCTCTGGTTCCCACATGGTTTTGTGTGTGTTTGTTCGTTGTGTTGTGTCATACACTTTTGTGAGCTGGTGTGTTTTCCCTGCGTGGAAATTAGTGTTTGTTTTTTCAGAGTAAAGTACGTTGTGTACTCAGTTCTGTGTCCTGCGCCTGACTCCGTCCTACCGCTGCACATTTTACACATGACATTAAAGGCACAGTCAACTTAGTGTATGTAAACTTCTGACCCACTGGAATTGTGATACAGTGAATTATAAGTGAAATAATCTGTCTGTAAACAATTGTTGGAAAGATTACTTGAGTCATGCACAAAGTAGATGTCCTAACCGACTTGCCAAAACTATAGTTTGTTAACAGAAAATGTGTGCAGTGGTTGAAAAACTAGTTTTAATGACTCCAACCTAAGTGTATGTAAACTTCCGACTTCAACTGTATTACACAAGTACCTGTAAGCACCGATTCTCCATCTGTCTTGCTCAGCCTTGCTCTCCCCTCTTTCTCCTCTTGACACACAGGCACATGTGCACACACACTGTATCTCAAATATGACTCACTAGCTAGCATACCTTTATTGTATATATCACGAAAGAAGAATATCTACATGCACGCATACACACACACTGATGTTTGGCAGCTCATCAAATTGAGAGACAGGGAGAGTGAGAGGTAACAGGGTTTGTCATCTTCCTTCAGGACCAACCCCACCCCCTGCTTTCCTCTCTTTCCTCTCTTTCCTCTCTTTCCTCTCTCTCTCTCTCTCTCTCGTCATCTCATCCCCTCTCTCATCTCTCTCTTCTCTCTCTCTCTCCCCCATCTCTCTCTCTCTCTCCTCCTTTTTCACTGTCTCTCTCACTCTCTCCCCAATCTCTTCCCCCAATCTGCATATCTCTATTTATCTCATCTGTCCATCTCTCTCTCTCTCCCCAACCCCCCTATCTCTCCCTCTGTTTCTCTCCCCCACATACACCCCCAATGCCCCTAGTCACCCCTTCACACTGTCCTTTCACACTCCCCCATCTGTTCCTGTTTTTAGAGCACCACAGAGAGCCAATCACTCTCTCTGATTGTTAAATAGAAGCGTCCATGCGGGAATTCTCCCCTCTGTCCTATTAATCAGTCACAGTACACTCCAGTCTGACCATAAACATGCATGTATTAACCAACACTTATGCTCCCATCACACCATACATTTATTTTAGTAGCCTAGCTTGATGAGGGCCACAGCATGCTCCAGAGCGGTCTCAGTAAGTCTTCTGGCTTGTTCGTACAGCCCTGTAAAACTTATGACCACAGATATCCTGTGTATGACACTAACGCTGCATAGGGAGACACTTGAGTTTTGAGTGTTGCTATTTCAAACCATGTTCAGGGAACTGTCATTTAGTAATTGGCTCAGTAAACCCATAGCAAATGTGTCCATATCAGTAAACATCATATATAGCAACTCTATTATCGACTAATGTGATGGTGGCCACCATTGGTAGCATTTCCA